GAACGTCACACTTCTCAGTGCGGCGGCTGAAAATTCCGCTTCCCCGCATTTCAAGTGGTTTCACGGTCGGAAACGCCTTTTCGGGCTTGCGCGTCGCACGTCGCAATGCGTCGCAATGCGTCGCCATGTCGCGTTTCGGCTATTCGGCTTCAGGTGGCGGGAAGCGCGTTCGCAGCCGCGGTGGGCGGTGCGGTGCGGTGGGCGGCGCGGCGCGCACTGGTCCGGTTAGCCGAACACGCCTCACACGTCTCAGCGCGCGAAGCCCGAACAGCCTTTGTCGCTCCGCTGGTCAAATCCCACCTCGCACATTCGCTCGCCACTCACTCACTCACTCACACTCACTCACTCACTCACTCACTCACTCACTCACTCACTCACTCACTCACCACTCACTCACTCACTCACTCACTCACTCACTCACTCACTCACTCACTCACTCACTCACTCACTCACTCACTCACTCACTCACTCACTCACTCACCCACTCACTCACTCACTCACTCACTCACTCACTCACCCACTCACTCACTCACTCACTCACTCGGCGTGTTGCGGGTTGCCCATCTGAGCGAAGGGCTGCCAGGCTGCCCCTGGACTTGCCCGAGGGGCGATGATGGGTGGGGGCCACCATTGGGGGCCGCGCCAAGCCAGGTACGCCTGGAGGGCTAGATACTGTCTAGATCGGCCTAGGTCTGTCCGGATCGGCACCTGAGATACAACGGACGGCCACCCCCGGAGGGGCAGAGAGGAGAGAGAGAGAGGAGAGAGAGAGAGAGAAGAGTGAGAGAGAGAGAGAGAGAGAGAGGGGGGGGGACCTCTTGGCGCTGGGGAGCAAGTGAATTCATGGGCGCGCGTTTGTACAAGTGCAAGCCATGTTTCACCGCCTGGGACCAACCTGCCTGCGACCGGCCTGCCTGGCCAAGGCGGGCCGAGGCCTCAAGGCTCCACTGGGATGTGTCCTGGCGAGAACGGTTTGCGGGGGAGAGGCTTCCCCCCCCCCCCTCTCTCTCTCTCTCTTTCCTAACGCCGCCGCCACAGCTGCAGGTGTATTACTCAGATGGCGTGTTTTGTGTGGCAGAGGCACATGTATTCCCGACGGGGCTGCCGGGGTCGGGAGGGAAAGAGGGGGAAGGATTTGGGAGGGCCCATTGCGTAGGAGGAAGGCGCTTTGACGCACACACGCACACACACGGCGCTCGCAGTGGGGCACGTTGTGAAGCGACTGCGAGGGGGTAACGACTTCGGGAATCCGGCTGACAGCCAATTGGGAGGTAATCCGGGGTAATCCGGGAATATTTTGGTTGTAATCCGGAGGCAATTTGGGGATAATCCGGGGTAATCCGGGGTAATCCGTTATCCGGCTGACACGAAATTTACCAGTCGTTACCCCCTCGAGCGACTGCGAGGCATCCGTCGCTGGACCGCCGGGATCCTCTGCTGCATAGTTCGCATAGTCTGCTCCGGCGGCGTGCACCTGTCGGCCCGTCGGCCCGTCCGTGGCGAGCCGCGCTGACATTTGGCCGCAGTGGGTTAGGCCGCGCAGAGCCGCGGGGCAGAGCCGCACCGCCGCAGCGTCAGCCAGCCTGTCTGGTGCAGCGGCAAAGCCCAAGCCTCGGCCGCAGCCGAAGGGAAGGCAGGCGGATAGCGAAGCCCTCCGGTACACTGTTGTGCAACGAATGTGACGTCATCTACCTCAGAATGTGGATTTTGTCTCGTTCGTTTGAATTTGTGACGCCATATGAGTGGTCATCAGAGGGAATCTCACGGTAGATACGCTGTACGAATGTCACACAAATTCGTTGTGAAGTTTGGCACGTTTGAATGGGCTGATGATTAGTTCGTCGCAACAGCGTAGGACGGTGGTGGGTTTGCTTTCGGGGCGGAGATCGAAATGGGAGCTGATTAGGTCGAGTCAGTGCCGCCGTCGCTGGCTTGCCAGAGGGCTTGCCCGCGTCCCGCCGCGCCTCGCGTGGGCCCTGCACGCTGTCTCTCTCGCACCCCTACGGGCTTCCGGGGCGCCCCGCGAGCTGGAGAGAGACAGAGCGACGAAGCCTGCTGGCGGCGCGGCAGGCTGGTGGACTAGTTGGAGGCGGCCAGGACGGCAGGGCTGCTCGAGTTCCATGTTTCATCACCGCTGCGAACTAATCGAATGAATGCATTGGCCTGGCTGCCAGCCGGGCTGGCCGGCTGCGCTGCGGCTTGGCCGAGGCTTGGCAAGGGATTGGCCGAACGTCGCTGTCTCCCTTGCTCTCACGGCGCGTCCCGGCAGTCCCGCGTGGGTGCGAGGGAGACGGGGCGACGAAGCGCTGCTCGGCCGCGCGCATATTCATGTGTCATTGCCGGTCTGCGCGGTCAGGCACGCACACTGTAGGCGGGGCGCTTATCAAAAGCTCAATTCAGAGACCAGGCCCAGCGCAAAGAGAACGCTGCCCGTGTACACATGCACTGCTAACAACTCCCTTAGTAAGAAGAAAAGTAGAAATGTTTTAAAGTTTCCCAAAAGTTTGTCGTCTCAATCGAACCGAGGGCGCTAGTGGCAAGTTCTAAGACATAACTTAAACAAGCGTCGCGTCCCCTTTGCCGTCAGTGCCGTCAGAGAAACGCGTCCCTTTCCCGGATATGGCAGCGCGCCGAATCTATCAAAGTCCAAAGTAGTAGAAGTAAACCGAAGTAAACACAACGCGCCACGCTCTGCCCGGGCCGGCGCCCCCTTCCGCGGGCGCCTGCCTGGGTCTGACACGACGACGGCGGCCTGTGGACTGACTTCAAGAGTCGCCCTGTCTCTCTCGCACTCACCCCGCACAGGTGCGAGAGAGACAGAGGGAGAAAAGCTGCTCTCGGAATCAGTGTGCTGGTTGTGGTGCCGAGCGTCGCCACCGGCATCAGAGCGGTAACCATGGTAACATATTCCCCGGAAATGTGACAAAGGTGCGGTGCCCGCGGTGCCCGCGACATTGCTTCGCCTTGCTTCGCATCGCTTCCACTCGGGCGCCGCTTTTCATTACCGGCTGTCCATTCCACGCGCGAGGCGCCGCGACGCCAGCCGTCGCTCCGTCTCTCTCGCGCCCCGCGGACGCCCCACGAGTGCGAGAGAGACAGAGCGAAGGTTCTCTTCGGAATGGTGTGGTGCCTGGTGCTTCGTTCCTCGCCGTCTCTCTCTCCCGCGGGACGCCCCGTGAGTGCGAGAGAGACGGAGCGACGAAAACGACTCTCGGAGTCAGTAAACGTCCGGCCCACTCGCCGAACAATGCACCTCGCCTCGCCTCGCCCCGCGACGGCTGGCTGAAAGGCACGCCTCTACGGCATAAACATCGCTTGGAAAGTCACCGCTCTCAGAGAGAGAGAGAGAGAGAGAGAGAGAGAGAGAGAGAGAGAGAGAGAGAGAGAGAGAGAGAGAGAGAGAGAGACGCAATGAATGGATGGATCATCATCGCGCCGCAGCGCTCAAATATTGATTCGGGTGATTGGATATTCTCGTTACGTCGCGTTCGCTCTACAAGGCATGACTTGCCCCACCAAAGCTCTTTCTGTTCTTGATTTTTTTTAGTTTTTTTTTTTTTTTCAAATTTTACGAGGATAACAGTGTGTGAAATGTATCGGTTCAGGAATCGTGCTTGGTGTCTTGAAAATTGAGAACACTTCTTGTATCGTGCGCGTGGGCGCGCTGAGGCCATTGATTGGCCTCGTTTCGACTCCTTTATTTATTTTCCGCATTTTTCATTGTTCCTCTCTCATCCCCTCTGGCCGAGTGGCGCACAAAAACGAGCTGCGGCGACGCGGCCGGGTGAAAAAAAAAACGGGAAAAGGCGAATTGATAAAAGCGGAGCTGTGAGTGCGCGGAGTGGTTCTGGTGGTTTCCCCGCGCCGAGGCGAAGCGCGGTGTCGGTGTCGCCCCATGACTGGCAATATCGCTCCATATTCGCGCCGCACTGAGCCGTGCCGTGCCGCTCCCGCTTCTGTGATGGATTTCATTTATTCCGTGATGGCATTCGCGGGCACTCGGCCTGGCGGTGGCGCGGCGCGGCAGCGCACGGCAGCCAGCCGTGCAGACGGCTCCGCACCGCAGCGACCGCGGCGTGAGGGGCGAGGGGCGTGAGGGGGCCGGCCCCACGGGCCCAACGCAGTGCGGCCAAAATAAACAGAGTCCGCGCACCGCAATGCCGGAGTGGAGGGCCAGGCCAGGAGGATGATTCCGGGGGCCGTTTTCGCCGCTCTGTCTCTCTCGCACCGAACGCTCGTTGAGTGCGAGAGAGACAGAGCGACGACAACGACTCTCGGAATGAGCCTGCAGGCCGGCCAGCCTAGCAGAGTAGACCAGCACTGCCAAGCCAAGTGGAGAGGAACGCTCACAGTGTGTGCGCATGTGTGCGCGCCAGAACTACTGGCCGCATGGCCCGGTCTGGCGGCCAGGCTCTGGCCCACTGAGGCACTGCGAGGTGGCAGGCTGAAGTGCTTCCCGGTAGAGTGTCCGCTGGCTGGCCGTGCTGGCCGTGCTGGCACTGAGCCGAACTGGCTCACTCGGCCGCTGCCGAGAACGAGAACAAGGGCCCCGCCGCTGGGGCCGTTGGCCGGCGGTCGCTCTGTCTCTGTGAACAACGTCCATCGAAAACGGCACGGCCGGGCCGGGCACGGCCACCCCACTGTTTGTCGTTTGTCCGGCCGCCGTCACTGGCAGTGCGTCCTTCCGTCCGCCTCGCCGGCCGGCTGCTGGACTCATTCCATCTCTCTCGCTCCTACGGGGCGTGCCGTAGCCGTACTGGTGCGAGAGAAACAGAGCGACGAAAACGACCCGCGGAATCAGTCTGCTGGATGGACGGCGGCGGAGCGCTGTGCTGTAGTGCCATCGTTGCCCATCTGCCTTATCTGTCCCTCTCGCACTCGCGGGGCTTTCCGCTGCGGTGCGAGAGGGAGAGACAGAACGACGGAATGCTGTGCGGAATGGCCCCTGCGCCTAGTAGACTCCTCGCAGTGTCGCGGACTGATGCCTGTTTGTGTTGCAGGGCCTCGGAGGGCGGCGGCCTGGACAACTCCCCGAACGGCAACCAGCTGAACCAGCGCGGCGACATGGGCCGGCGAGCCAGGCCCGACCTCATCCAGACGGCCGAGCCGCCGCACCGCACCAGGTGCGTCTCGCTGCGTCTCGCTGCGTCTCGCTCGCCCTCTTGCAGTGTGCCGTGCCGTGGGGTGCGGCAGGGACGGAGCGACCAGCACTGCGCGCCATTGGCCTGCACACTGACCCCGAGAGTCGTCGCTCTGTCCCTCTCGCCGTCCTGGGGCATCCCTTGTAGAGAGACAGAGTGACGAAAACGACTCTCGGAATGAGTGCTGCTGACCGGCCGGGCCGCGTGGCGACGCGTGGCGCCGCGGTTCGGGAAGGGCAGCCAAGTGCGTCGCAGGCAGACATCGCGCTCCACTTTACGGGCCGGCCAGTCGGAGGGCTGCGAGGGGCTGCGAGGGTGGCAGGCTGGACAGTGTCGCGGTGGCGCCCCCTGGCCGGCCGCCACGGGAAACGAGAAGCAGCGGGGGCAGCCCTCCCTCTATTGTGCCGGTTACAGTGTACACCTGCCTCCGGGCGCGGCCGGCCGGCCTGGCGCCGGGAAGTGGAGTCGGTCGGGTGGGGACGGTGGGTTGGGGCAGCAACTAAGTAAACATCCGTTTTCGGAGGGACCCGGGAAAGGGGAGAGGGAGGGGGATGCTGCCCGGGGCTTTACTCGCAGACGCCCACCACGTCGCGCTCCCTCCATATCTCCCCCGTGCTCTTTTTGGAGCGGGTTCTTTGCACCCGTCTGATGCACCCGCGTCCGGCCCTCGGCCCTCCGGCCCCGCATGGCTTACTCCCCCCCCCCCCTTCCCTCTGCTCACGGCTTTGGCCGCCGAACACCGCTGCGCTGCGGGTTGCCCACCCGGGCATTGGCGGGCGCTTGCCCGCCGGGCCGGTGAGCGGTGAGCCCACCCGCCCGACGGGCCGTCCGCAGCAGACTGATTCCGAGAGTCGTTTCGTCGCTCCCTCTCTCTCTCGCAGTCACGGGGTGCTCCCTGTAGGTGTGAGAGAGACAGAGCGACGGAAACGACTCTCAGAATCAGTCTGCAGGGCCACACCCCTCGAGGAACGCCAGGAACGCTAGGATTGGGTGCTCTGGCGGGAGACGGGTTGCCGGGTAGACGAGGGCGCTAAGCCGACCTAAGCCCCTGCACGCTGCACGCCGTGCGCTGCGCGGCGGTGCGGCGGTACTCGGAGGGGCCAGCAACGCCGGCAACCCGGAGCAGAGGACGCGCGGCCGATGTTGGCAGACGGTCCCTTTCCGGATCCATCCAGTGAATGTAACAGCCGGGCGCTGGGCCGGGGGAAGGCGGACGCTGGGGTGGGCGCGGACGGCCAGGCAGGGGCGCTAATGGTCTGCGGAAGCGCCCGCAGGCCGCCATACTTGATGCAGGTCAGGGCGGAGGGAGGGGGGGAGGGGCTGCTCTTAGGGTATTAGCCCGATAAGCCCGGAGCGCCGTGAGGCTGCCCTCTTTCGCCTGGCTGGACCCGTGGGTGCGCCGCGCGCCCCTGTGCCGCGTGGGCCTGGAGGCCTGGAGGCCCACACACCGTGCGATGGCACAATGTGGTCCAGCAGGGCCTCCATGGCCCTGACGACGGCCGAGCCCTTCCGGACAACGCCTTCGCACGCGGCCCGGCCTCCTGCGGCCTGCGCGTCACCGTCATTAAGGCCAGCACGTCTTTAGCACGCCTTTAGCATGCCTTTTGCACGCCTTAAGCATGCCTTTTGCACGCCTTCTGCACGTCCAGGATGCCTCCAGCGACACCTCCAGGACGCTTCCAGCTGGGACGCCTAAAGGTCGCTTCTTGGACGCTCCTTGGAAGCCACCATGATGCTTGAAAGACGCATCCTGAGTGCTTCCAGGACACGATCCCGGATGCGCAATGCTTCACTGGCCAGGGTTGACTTCACGTCGTCACAGCCGTCACAGCCGTCACGCGGCCTGGGCGGTCGTCACGGTCGTCGCTTCTTGGACGCTCCTTGGAAGCCACCATGATGCTTGAAAGACGCATCCTGAGTGTCTCGAGGACGATCCCGGATGCGCAATGCTTCACTGGCCAGGGTGGACGTCACGTCGTCACAGCCGTCACAGCCGCCACAGTGACCATCGTCGCCACAGCCGTCACAGCCGTCACAGTGACCATCGTCGCCACAGTCGCCACAGCCGGCACGGTCGCCACGACCGGCAGCCCCTGTGAATGAGGGCGCCGGCGCGGCCTCCGCGGCCCGGCCTCTGGGCTGCTGGGGCTTCGGCTTCGGCTTCGGCCTCTGGGCCTCTGCACTCCAACAGAGTAATCGCATCGACCCGCACGCTCCGCTGCCATGCCGCCACGACGTCGCCCTCCTTCGCGTCCTGCCGGCACGGCCGGCACGGCATGGCTTCTCGCATTGGCCTGGCCCCGCGCCGCACAGCGCCGCCGGGTCGCCGGGCTGCGGTTCGCGCCGGCGTCGCTCTGTCTCCCTCGCTCCGCTACGGGACGCGCGACGAGTGCGAGGAAGACAGAGCGACGGAGCAGCGTTTCAGCCTGCAGGCTCCGGGGCTCCCGTTCGTGGAAGCGGAAGAGACGGTGTTGACCGCACAGAGGCAGACCAGACAGCAGCCATTGGTCTCGACCTCGACCCGGACCCGACTCGAAAGACCTCTCGCTCCCACTCATGCTGCCTGCCTGATCCCCAAGCTGTCTCTTTCCAGCCCGGTCTGATAGACTTTTCGGGAACAACCCAATGGGCTTTTTGTTGTGTTTTGAGTTTGATTTGAGTCCCATTCGAGGAATAAGAAACGTGTCCCACTGCAAACCCCGTCCCCGCCCCCACCCCCGACGCTAAAAACAGAACGCAGCCCTGTGTTCCGTCCCACAGTGGGCGTGGGCACGAGCCAGAAGACCGCTGGAGGCGACCAAAATTCTAGACGCGTTTCGAGCTCCAGAGTCGCTAAATGGGATTCGAACCGAACGCTTGATCCCACCTGCTCTTCGAACGAGGAATCCATTGGTGGGGTCGTACGTTCGGTTCGAGTCTTGTTTAGCGACACTGCAGCTGAAAACGCGCCTAGAATTTTGGCCGCCTCCACCAGTCTTCTGGCGCACTGGGCGTCCCGAACCTCGGCAGCGCTCGAGACCAACAAACAACTTCTGCCAAAGCGATGCAAAGACATTGCTGCGACGGAGAGGGAGGGACGACCGGCCGCCCCTGTCGGCTCCTCCCTGCCCCTCCCGGCCATCCTCGCTGACGGGCGCCTTACGGCGCTGACGGCGCTGACGGCCTTGACGGCGGCCTGATAGAGCAGGGCCGAGGGCGCCGAGGGCCGCGCCCTGAGCTTGGCGCCCTATCGCGCCATCCTTGGCGCGGTGCGCGCTGCAGACCGGCAAGGTCGTCTTTGTGGTCAAATTGCAGCGCGCCCTGCCCAGCCCGCCCCAGCGCGCCCCGCGACACAGTGGGCAAGAAGGCCGGCGGAGGCGGCGAAAACCCAAGATGCGTTTTGAGTTTTGGTGGGACTGGAACCGAACGTCTGACCCCCACCGATGGATTCCTCGTTCGGAGAGCAATCCATCGGTGGGGCCACACGTCCGGTTCGAGTCCCATTCAGCGACTCTGGAGCTCAAAAGGCGTCTAGAGTGTTGTCCTCCACCGGCGTTCTGGCCCACTGTGCGCGGGGTGGCCGATCACCCTCGCCCTCTGGCCGCCTCGGTGGCGCCAGTCGGAGTCGCAGTCTTGCGTGCACCACGCGCGTCAGGCGGGGCTGGTGGGGCCAGGGGGCCCTGGTGGGGCCGGCGAGGGGTCGCAGCCTGGCCTGGTCTGTGCAGTCTTGCCGGGCACAGGAGGGCGCGCCCGGACTGCCTCGACTGTGCATGGGCTGCATGGACCCCCTCCCCTCCCCCTCCACTGTGAGGACTCGTCGTCACTTTGTGACGAAATCGTGGATGACATTTGCCACTCGCAAAAGATGACAACTTCATTGCAAATTGGAGCAATAGTCATCAAAGCTCCTGTGTGCTCATTGCATGGGCGCGTGACAACGGATGTCGTCAACAAGTTTGATGACATTCTTGCAAAGAAAGTTAGCCCGCTCGAAATTGTCATCCAGCGAACAGGGAAATTTTCACAGTGTTGGCCCGTCGACCCCGCGGCCCGCCCCAGTTCCCCTGCGACCAGACCCCTATTTTGCCGACACGCCAAAGAGGAGTTACGGGAAACCGTTCGGCCGTTGGGGAGTGCGCCACGCGGCGCCACGTCATGGGACCGCCCTTGTCCGTGTGGCCCGGCGCCGGTAGGGCGCTACCCTCGGCGCTACCCCGCGCTCGCGACCAAACTCAAAAGCGGCTGGAGCGCGGGGTAGCGCTGCGTCCTTTCCCTTCGGCTGAACGGGATTCTAGTTATTCTCGAGGGCGGGCAGAACGAGAGGACTGGGGCGGAGCGCACAGTGGATTTACCACAAGACCGGCGCCGGTGGACAAAACTCTAGACGCGTGTTGAGCTCCAGAGTCGCCAAACAGGACTAGAACCGAACGTGTGACCCCACCAACGGATTCCTCGTTCGGAGAGCAATTCATTGGTGTGACCCCACACTTTCGGTTTGGGTCCTACTTAGTGACTCCTGGAGCTCAAATAGCGCCCGGATTATTGGCCGCCCCCACCAGTCCTCTGGCAAATTCACTGTGTGCCGGGCTGGCAGTGTGGGGGCGAGGCAGAATCCGCTCTGTGGATAATGCCAAACCCGGCACCGCTGCCTTTTGGCCGCTTTTCGGGCGGGCCCCGCCCCTGGCCCCGCCCCTGGCCCCGCCTTGCACGTCGAGTAGTTTTGGCTCATGATTTCCCGAGTGGTTGGGTGCGGGCCCGCAGCGGGCCTTCCTCCAATATTCATCCCGGCCTGCGCAGCGCGCAGCGCCCGGCCCGCCGCAGCACGGAGCAGCGCCGCGGCGAGGCCAGACTCTCCATTTGTCCGCCGGTCCAAAGTCCAGCCCGCACCGCCGCGCCGGCCGCGCCCCACCACCCTCGAACAAGAGGGCAGTTAAAATCAGAACCAAATGGCGTCAAATGATGTCATTTCGACGTCGATTTGGGCCAAACTTTTGATTTGAGATCATGGTGTATTGTTCTGGCTTTTGTGTTGTGGGCAGTGCTTTGTCAAACTTTACAGAGAATTCCACACTGAAAGGGTGGAGACTGCAAACTCTGCACTTTCAAGTGCGGAGACCTGAAATTCCACACCTCCGCCCTTTAAGTGTGGCGTTCTCCACGCTCGGTTTCACAGTGTGTCGCCAGCTTGTGCTCGTACCTGACCGAAAGTGCCTGTTGCAGCCTCCTGAACGTGAACAGCGCGGCGCTGGACGGCTCGGACATCCCGCACATCGCCGGCCAGCTCAACAACGACCTGTACGCCGTGGCGGTCAAGAGGCGCCCGGCCGCGGCGCAGAGCCAAGGCCCCGGCCAGGGCCCCGGCCCAGGCAGCCTCACGCCCTCGCCGGACTCTCCCGTCGCACACTCGCTCAAGGAGAACCTGCCGCCCGGCTGGGAGCGCCATGAAGGTGAGGCCGAGGCCGTGAGGCCCTCCCCTGTCGATACCCCGCGCGGCAAGCTGCCGAGAGTCTCTCGCGCGCGGAGTAGCGCGGACCGCTTGTTTTGCGGGGAACTCCTCCCACCACCTGGTGCGGCGTCATTCTCCACACTTGGACGAGTGGAGTTTGCAGTCTGGGCAGTGGAGAAGCTCACAGAGCCCCTATCTCTTGTCATACAGGGCATGATCCCCGCAAACTCTGCACTTTAAAGTGCGAAGACTGCAAATTCCACCCTTCCGACCACATTTGAAGTGCGGAGTTCTCCACTCTTGACTTTACGGTGTTGCTCTAACGCTCCTTCTGGTTGCAGACAACGACGGCCCCTACTACTGGCACATCAAAAGCGGCACCATCCAGCGGGAGCCCCCCAGCGCGGACACCCCCACCCCCGGCGGCAAGCCCATGGACGCCGAGCTGCTCAAGGACACGGACACGGTAACCACAGTGCACACCTAGTCGTTTTCGTCGCCCTGTCCACTCGTAGGCGCGCCGTATGGGTGCGGAAGAGACGGAGCGAGGAAAACGACTCTCGGAACCAGTCTGCTGCGACGGTCAAAGCCATAGCATGTGTGGTCTAGACTTTCAAGTCAAGCCAAGTCATGCCGCCTGCGAATCGGAGGTTAGGCAGCCCGCCGCACTGCCGTGCGCTAGGCCGCGTTTGGGTTGCCTGCCCGCCGGGCGGGCCCTTGCCATTGCTTTGCCATTGCTGTCGGTGTCGGCGCGCTGCGCGCTGCAACGCTGCAACTCGCCTTCCTTGTTCCGCAGTCGCTGTCCGCGGTGGTGTCGTGCGTGACGCGCAGCAACACGAGCTCCGCCCTGGAGGAGCTGTCGGGGCAGCGGCTGGAGCGGCGCGAGGAGCTGGCGCTGAAGCGGCGCAGCTACCCGGCCGGCCCCTCGCCCGGCGCCAACCCCGCGGCCGGCGCGGCGCGGCCCGGCATGGCCCTGGGCAACTCGCTGGACGCGGCCGACGCCAAGGAGCGGCCCATCCGCTTCGCCGTGCGCTCGCTCGGCTGGGTGGAGATCGCCGAGGCCGACCTGACGCCCGAGCGCAGCAGCAAGGCCGTCAACAAGTGCATCGTGGACCTGTCCCTCGGCCGCAACGACCTGCTCGACGTCGTGGGCCGCTGGGGAGACGTGAGTGCACCTCCACCAGAAGACCGGCGGAGGGGGCCAAAATTCTGGACGCGCTCTGAGCTACAGAGTCGTTGGATGGGACTCGAACCGAGCGGGTGGCCTCACTAGTGGACTCCTCGTAAGGAGAGAGCAATTCATTAGTGGGGTCACACGATCGGTTCTAGTCCCATTCGACGACTCTGGATCTCAAAACGCGTCCATAATTTCGGCCACCTCCGCCGGTCTTCTGACCCACTGTGCGGTGCACTAACCTTTTGTTCACTCCTTGTCCTTCTTTGGTTTGCAGGGCAAGGATCTGTTCATGGACCTGGACGAGGGCGCTTTGAAGCTGATAGACCCTGAAAATTTAACGCTCCTCAATACTCAACCTATCCACACAATCAGGGTGTGGGGTGTAGGCCGCGACCACGGCAGGTATGTGGGTACGACGCAGAGTCACTCGTCTTCTTCCTGAGTGACGATTTATGCATGCTATTTGGAATATTGTTGGAGTTTCTGCTGAAAACAGTATAAAATAAAATAACAGCAGGCAATTTAATTCAAACCTATAGTTTTCCTCCCATTGTGTACTGTAAGTGTCTATGGACTCATGCAGTTTAATCTGTAGTTATCATTGCTGAAGAGGGACTCAAAGTTTAGTACTATCAAAACAAGCGAAACACAGCAAAAGGCTGCAGGAAGGTTTTTCTGTTTCTTCAAAAACTGAATTTCTTAAGATTTCAATAAAGTGACATTTTATGTGTAAAAAAGAGACATGTTGCCTCCTGAAAAGGTCCAGTGTACTGCACCTCAATCATTTAGTTGTGTTGAAATCTAATTTCAATTTTTCTTGTTTCTCTCTTGCAATCCATACTCTTTCATGATGATGGTTCGACCGCAGGGAGAGGTAACAAATGGCCATTTCTAACAATAGCTTCATTTTTGTTTGCCACTGCACATGCAATTTCTGGCCACAAAGTGCATTTGCCTAGTTGAAATTGTTTATGTCACATTAATGCTATTGCATAATACTTAAGAATGGAGTTGCGTGCTTTGTATGTGTGTTATAGAGAAAGTAGTGGAAAGACATTTAGATTGCATCCTGTATGCATCGCATGAAATTCTGTTGTGTGAAGCCTTTGAAATTTTGTCATAAATTTGTTTAAGTAAACAAATTCATGACAAGAGTGTTCTTAAAATTCAGTGGTTGTAAAAGAGAACAAAAGTTTTTTTTGTGTGGCTGAACATAATATAAATTTTGAAAAAATTGCATCTGAATTTTGATAGGCACATAAAGATTTCCTCACCTTTTCAGCGCTTCTTAGTTATTGAGGTCACTCCATGTTGTAAAGGATGGCTTTCCTTTTGCTTGCTTTGATTTGTAACTTTTCTTTGCATGAACAGTTTGCTTTAGTTTGGGTTTTAATTCTTTCTTTTGTTTTCTCAGGGATTTTGCCTATGTTGCCCGTGATCGCACAACCCGGAAGCACATGTGCCATGTTTTCCGCTGTGATATCCCAGCTCGAACCATTGCAAATACACTAAGAGATATATGCAAAAAGATTATGATTGAGCGTAGTCTTCAACAGAATCTGGCAAAGCCTATTGACATTAGTAAGTTATGAATATGACATTCAAAGCATTAATTATTGAATAAATAAATTTTTCACTCTACATCAAAAATTTATTTTTTTTGTAGGTGGCCATGGGATGTTAGGACGAGCAGGTCTTGCCGCTCGTCCTACAAACTTGCCAACAGAGCATCGACGCTTCCACCACCGAAGTGGCATGGCCCTTGTCAGTAAGTGTCCCCTGCATATCTTAACAATAACTTAATTAAGGATCAATTCTTATCTTCATAAACATTCATGTTGTCTCTGTTTTCCAGCACAATCTTTCCCAACTCCTATGGAAGAACCAAGGAAAGTTATTCGCGCTCTGTACCTTGGATCAATCCAAGTGGATCGTGCTACAGGAATGGATGTGTTGAATGATGCCATTGACCTTCTATCTGCTGCTGCTCCACAAGACCAATGGCGTCCTGTACATGTTGCTGTGGCACCATCAATGATCTCAGTTCTTAATCCTAATGTGAGTTCCCATTTGCACTTGCTTTTCCATTTTGCTTCAAGTTCTATTTTATTGAATTGAATTTAAATTGTAACTCATAACTCGTGTATCTGGTTTACAGGATGATTCTTTAATAACAGAATGCCGAGTTCGATATTTATCATTTTTGGGCATTGGTCGTAATGTTAAACAGTGTGCTTTTGTTATGCACACCGCCCAAGATCTGTTCATAGCTCATGCTTTCCACTGTGAGCCCTCTTCAGGTGCTCTGTGCAAAACTGTTGAGGCAGCATGCAAGGTAAGCGCGTGTCATAAGTCAAGCAAATAGTATTGCTGATTAGGTTAGCAGAAGAATAGACTTCTAACATTTCTGTACTTTGACTTCTATTTTTTAGCTGCGTTATCAGAAATGTCTAGACGCTCACCCTCAGGGCTTCAGACAGCCAAGCACCAGTGCGCAGTCCCCTGGCCGAGGCTTGGGTGCCACACTGAAGTCGTTGGTCGGCACCCTCACTGGACGCAAAGCAAAGGGGTCAGAATCCTGAGATGAGGCTCTTTCTCTGCAGGTAAAATTTGACTCAAAAAATATGTCCAAATGGGGTTAAGTACCACACATCATGAAAGCTAATTTTTCTTTCTCATGTGGTTTTGCTTCTCTATTGAAGGAATCATTTCCTGCAGAGAAGGACAAAGAGCCTCCTGAGCCTCCCCGTGTTCGTCATCTGCAATCACCAAAGACACCCCAGTTCTTCACAAGCGGTTGGATAGCCATGGCCATCAACTCTCCTGGATCGACTGGCTCGACTGGTTCAGCTGGCACTCCCAGTGGCAGTCCCCCCAGCACACCTCTGAGTCCCAGCTCACAACCAGTAGTTTTGTGGGAGAAACTGCCCACTGGTGTTGCAGCAACTCCATAACTGACTTCAAGCTAACTCAGCAGGCCAGTCTTTTGTGTATCTGAGTGTGCTTCAGTGAAGTGTGATAGTTTACCAGTGAAAGTGACATGACATATAGGAAAATGAATGAGATGGGTACTAAGTGAATGCAGAATACAGTGGTGTTGGATGTGATTTACATAATGGATTCTGAGGTCTTACTAGAGTTAATTGTTAATAGTGTTTATGGAGAGTCTAACATTACAAGTCTGGATTGAACTTTTATCTGGATTTGAGTATGGCCAGCATCTTAATGAGCGAGTGAGGAAGTTAATGAATAATTGAGTGAGTTAGTGAGAAAGTTTTTGGATAAGTTAGTGAGTGAGTGAGGAAGTGTATGTGTGTGTGTGTGTGTGTGAGAGAGAGTGTGTGTGAGTGTGTGAGTGTGTGTGTGAGTGAGGGAGGGAAAAAAGGGGGGGAGGGAGGGAGAGAGTGAGGGAGGGAGGGAGTGAGGGAGGGAGGGAGGGAGGGAGGGAGGGAGGGAGGGAGGGAGGGAGGGAGCAAGTGAACGAGTAAGTGAGTGAGTGAATGAGTGAGTGAGTGAGCATGTGAATATGTGAGTATGCGAGTAAGTTAATAAGTAAGTGAGTGAGTAGATATTTTTTTTAAATCTCAGTTTTACTATTTTAAGTTAATTTAGTCGTGATAATGGCACCCAAATTCAATTACAGAAATGTAATTTGGATTTGTGGAAGCATTACACTTGCATTGAAAATGAGCAAATCTGAGGCAACTCAGCTGTAGTGAAAGAATATCGAAGCGGTACCCAACTTCATTCTTCAAACTGCTAGGATATACCAATCCTGCAGCAAGAAAATGTTCCGTTGCCCGCCTAGAGTTCTTTAGATATAGGTGTATACATATATATGTATATAGTAGTATGTAATATGTATTATAGTCATCAACTTTTGGTTGATTGTGAAGCAATGATGGAAGTTTCAAGACCTTGCTTCACAGTATTACTAGTAAATATTGCAAAATCTAGCTCATACCATCCATTTGATGGCCAACTATGAGCCTAAAAGAAGCATGGTTCATCCACATGTACTTTTTTTGGCGATGTGAGTTTAACATTCGAATGCATGATATGATGTAATGCAGTTTCTTCATATGCAATGAACCTAAAAATGCATTGAAACAATAATTTGACTTGATATGAATGTCATGTCTCATCAATCAGTGTGCATTTTCAGGTCTAGACCAGTTCCATTTATGCCTTCTGCCAGCTTAGGTGTGCACTAGTATACTATGCCTTGTAAAAGTTCAACTTTGTTCCCCTTTTGAACATTGAACAGTTTTAGTGTTGCTTGCTGGTCGGCTTATCCCTTTTAACGATTGAGTGCTGGTGTAGAGACCATAAGCATTTCCTCTGAAACAGCAATGAATTTTAGCTTGTAAATATGTCTGTACATGATGTGACATGTACTATGTTGTGACTGCTGCGTAATTATATTATAGTGCTATCTCTCTTGTAGCACAAGCAATTGTAGAAATTCTCCTATAGAAAAGTACAGGAATTCTTAAGATTATGGTTTTTCATTTTCAGAAAAGAATGATCATTTAATTTATGTACATCATTCTTTAAAACATTTTTCCCTTTCATGTGTGCATGTAGATCTGAACTGCTTTGTGAGATGTGTGATTGCTGCTGATGTATCTAGTGATATCTTGCTGCAGATTCCCAAAGCACTAATCTTCTACTGTTGACGTTTGCGAGTATTTCTTTAGGAGACAAACATTGCTGTTTATGGAGTGCTCTCCCACCTATATAGTATGTTTGTTATTCTTTCAAATCTTATAACTTAACTGAGATTCAGTTGTGTACCAAATATACCACAGATCCAGAAAGTATGTGGCTGGCTTATTTCAAAGGTATATTCAAGCAATTATTATTTGTATGAAAAAGATTTTGATATCCTTTTTACTGCCCATAATACTCAAAGAAAGATACTATAAATAATAATACCAGAATGCATTTTAAAAACGGGACAATGCTCTAAAAATACTTGAGCTTACTTGCACAGTTTGCTCTCACTATGTTTTAATTAGTTATTTTAATATTTTTCTTGGTGCACTGACATTTTTTTAAAATACAAGAATTGTTTTGGTGGTTGCAAAAGTTTGAAGGCATGATGACAGTTTACAAAATGCACATGCTATTACTATGTAAATGTGGTCTCATATTTGGTACATATTTTTCTTGCCTCCTTAGTTTGATTGTGTTTTTTTGTTGTTGCTGTTTTTTTATAATGAACAAAATTAATTATCCAAGTTAACCAAAGAGTATTATAATTCTGAGATGGCACTGTCTCAGCATTCCATGCTTAGGTTTTATGAAATCAATTGTTTCTGAGTTGTATAGTCAATCTTTGTTTTATCACATGATAAAATTTATACCTGCCATTTTGGGCTTAAGATTTTGAATATCAATTATATGTTATCATTTGTTAATTATTTAAAGTCAGAACATTGCTTCTTTACATTATTGTTTTGATTGAGTTTTGAATATTTATTTATTGAAGACATTAATGCTGGTTATCAGTTGATATGTTGGACAACACTAACATGATGTGGCACATTGTCACCTGGACATCTTTTATTTCTTGCTTTTCTCTGTCACACCGTTCACTGAAAAAATTGTTGTTTATCTTAAATTATTTGCTTTCATTGTCAATTTCAAAAGTATCTTTTGAAAATAAAATGAATTTTTTCCAACCTGTCTTGTTTGTCATTTACCTACAAAGCCTGTGAAACACAGTCAGAGGCAATGAGTAGGTTGCCCCAAGTCAATATACACATTTGACGGAGAAACAGGGACAGGGGTTTGTTGCGGAGACCAATGCCAAGATCGTCGTGACACTGCACAGCAAGTTCATGTTAAAGTTCAGAGGCCTTGGGTTGGGGTGGATCAGTTGACCAGGAAATATTGCTGGAAATATTATTTAGTAGAAATATTCCAGATGCAATTATGTAGCTTACTTTCAATTTCTAGAAATGGAAAGAAAAATATGGGACTCGACTTCTAGTACGGGGTTTCTGAAACACTTGGTACAGTTATAGATAGCCTCATGGTAGGAGTTCGAACCCTACTTAGCGAATCTGGAGCTCAAAACGCGTCTCGAGTTTTGGCCGCCTGCTCCCGGTCTTCTGGCCCACTGTGCTGCGCGGTGCTGCGCCCTGGGCTGCGCCTGGCTGTGCCGGGGCTGCGTTGGGGGTGCCCCACCCCCGCCCCTCCAGCCCTCCGATCGGCGGTGGCGGTCCTCCGCCCTTCCCTTCCCTCACCGTCACTCTCCACCCCCCGCGCTCCGGCCCGCCGGGCTTGGCGCCGGGCTCGGAGCGCCTCATTCCGCGTGGTGCAGCGAACGCGGCCGGGTCGTCGGAGTGCCCGCCCCGCCCGAGAGCCCCGCGAGCGAGCCGAGCTGCCGAGCCCGCGACGTGCTCGCTGACGATCCAGCGCCTCCCCCCGCGCCGTCGCGGCCACCATGTGACGCCGGTTGCATGCCAGATTTGGCGCGCGCGTGTGTTGGTGTTAGTGGCGGTGCGACTCCGCGTGAGAGTGTGAGTGTGTGTGCGTGTCTGTGTTCCGCCAGAGTGGTGTCAACGAGTGGCATCCCCTCGGTGTGAATAATTGAGCCGAGTCGGAATTGAACCGCTCCAGTGCTACAGTGAATGTGCTTCAGCCGAGGTGTGGAGTGTGGCCGCTAGCTAAAGCCAAAGGTCGGTGGTACCCACCCGGTGGCTGAGAGAGTGTCGAGTGTGGTGGTTTGTGTTGTGCAGTGTCGTGAGGACTGTGCTAGTGAGCCGAGCGATCGCGGGTGCCTTCGCCCGCCTGTCGGATGAAGTGGTGATGGACTGACTTGGATTAACCTCTAACGAAGAAGGTGGGTACGCTTCCGTCATGTTAGGTCACATTTCTTTCAAGAGGCTCCGTTCCAACAATAATTTCGTTCGAATTGAGCACCTCTCGAGTATCCCAAACTTGCACCGGTATATCCCCATAATAAATCTAAGTATATGTAAGGAAACACAAACGAGACTTGGGACTAAATAGAACTGAACACCTGAACAGTGCAGGCGCAGATCCTGAAACGTTTTTAAGCGGTCTTGCTACCGCTTCTAGCTCTGCATACGATCCCACTCATCCCATCCCATCCATCCACCCATCCATCCATTCAGCGCGCTCGCACGGTCGTGGTTCGTCGTTCGTCGTCGCCTGCGCCGCCACGCCGCGCCGCGCCAGTCCCCACTCCTCACACAGCCACCCCCTCCCTCCTTGCCCCCTCTCTGCCCGGCTTCCCCGGCCGGTCCACGGCAAGACCGCTTTGCTAAGCTTGCCTTGGCGGAACTTTTTAGGGGTTCCCAAGAACCCCTATTGTCCGAGGTCCGTGGATTCTTCCCCCCCCCCCCTCTCCGATTTTCAAATAAACAACTCTAAACTATTTCAACCATGAAAAAAACGAAAATTCCAATTTTTTTCGAAAATTCATCGTGGAAATTTTCCGTAAACGCGAAAAACATAAATTTGCAACAATCGAAAACGAGAACCGTTAATGATATGAAAAAATGGTTTAAATAAAAAATGTGCCACTCCTCAAAACTAAACCTCCTGGCTCATCAAAGTAACAAGAAATCGTATATGTTCTGAGCAAATGGTCAAAACATGAAAAAAAATCTCCATGGCAACGGCATGGTCCCAAAGTCGCCCATTTAAAAAAAATCAAAACGCCGTGAAATTTGATAATGCTGATGCTAACACATTGCACGGTGTCTCAACGTTGGAACATCTTTAAAGTCTGTCACTACTAAAAAGTTCGTAGCAGAAACGACGCATCAAATAAATTTTCGTGGGTTGGCACCAATATGCTTGCCGTCTGCGCCCTTTCGAAAATCGCGAGGCTGAAAGAACGAACAGGCGCCCATTGAAACTGCCCCTCCATTGTTGCTGAGGTTGGATTGTTTGGCATGCTCTCAAAGGCTGCGGTTGTCTTGTCATGTTTTCCTCGATTTTCAACCAGTTATGGAAACGGGAACACCGTGCAATGCGATTAGCATTGGAATTTTTTTTTTTTTTTGGGGGGGGGGCACAAAAGTTGCCTACCTACAGGGGCAATGCGTGAATTTTTGCCATCCTTTCAGGCGCCTGAATCCCCTTGACTTGCCTCGAGTGGTGCTCCTCAGCCGTGTTTCGTAAACGCCGACCGTCGTGTTGGTGAAAAGCCCTTT